TGTTACCATATTGCATATGTGATTGTTGCAATTGACAGCTCCTAGTCACCAAATTTATTAATAGCATTGCACATTTGTTGTCACGGACACACAAAGTGCCCTGATGTAGGTTCCTATGTGGCCAAACTGGGATAACATACTTTTTTTTAGAGGTTAAAGTCTTATCCAGGTTATTGATAGTTTGAATTTGTCTATTGACCCTTAATGCACTAAAATTCACATGCATGCCCTTTCAGCAAACAAAGCATAGCGAAATACAAAAACAAAAATGTGATCTATTGCAGCATGCTGGCCCTTATATATATGATGGCTGCATTACCTTTCTATTTTTCAAGCTAAGAACATTTTCAGTAAGTACAAAAACCTGTTTATGGTGCCAGAAATGCAGTGTCATTGTCACTTTCTGTAAGCTTGAAAGAAAGTACAAGCATCCTAATCTTTCTTGTTTAAGCTGCTAGTCCAATCAATTCACCATGTACTGGACACAAGCAAAGGCAGATATGTTTATAAGTCTATGTTTGTTACCTTTGCTGATATGGGGCTTCAGTAAATGGTCATTCTGGAACACAGAGTTCCAGCTTTTTTTACCTTTTGTTTATGTTTGAAGTCCAGGCTGTGTGACAGCCATGGCTTTTCCCCATAGATAAAATGGAAAAACTAGTAAAGGCATGAAAAAAAAAAAAAGACAGGAAGCATGTTATTCCCAAATTTATCAAGACACGCTTTAAGCAATTTTCCATTGCAAGCAATGATTTTTAACCAATATGAAATATTTATAGCAATAGCAAATGGATCAAAGTCACTTACATAGGTACAACCTTTTTATAGTTAGTCTTTCCAGGTATTACAGAACAGAAATAACATTACACAGGCCAACACACATTTTGGTACCTCGAATGTTAGACCTATTTTTGGGTATTTTTTTCCCTATCAGCTCTAGTTTTTGAGATACAGCATAAATGCCATATTCTACTCTTCACTCTGGTTGCTTGTCGAAAATCAGGATAATTTAACGTAGGGTTTTGTTTAGTCCCAACCTCTACTGTGCTCAGTCTGCAAAAATTAAATGCCATGATTGGCAATATACATACACCTCCTATGCGATAACTATAATACAGTTAATAGCTTACACTTTAGAATCCAATGTTTCCGATGTAAAATTACAGCTGGGAGTAGATAAACACTCTCCCTATTTCTGTTAACTTGTATGCAAAAACACAAAACTAGGTAACAGAAGAACAAATTGATCAGCAAGCTGACTAAAAATGATATAGTTATATGAAAAAAAAAAAAAAAATTAGAGCCAATGCAGTCTAGCAAATGCAATTTTCCGAATCAGCACCTTAAAGATCCCAAAGAAAAAAGGTCTAAAAAGCAAGACACCAAAAAATATATATAGATTTTGTTGGGCTGTATCAACAATTAGGAATACCTATTACTAAAAGTTAAAAAAAACTTAGAACCGCTTTTTTTGTTGTTGTTTTACAAAAATAGTGCATGTGATATCATACAAATGAGCACATACACATAACTATTCACGAAAGCTATTTGTAGAGCATGGTGTAAGGCAAACGTATAACCACTACTGTCTAGAATGTCATTCAATGGTAACTTATATCTTGCTATCACAGTAGGAAACTATCAAGAGCACAAATGATGAAGCTTTAAAAAATGTGTCCCCAGGATTAAGAACTGTAGAAAAACGTGAGCTCCTTCTTTTAGAAGATCTTTAGAAACTCGAGCCTGAAATTAATATAGTACCTTTTTGCAAAAGTTTGTGTACATAACCTGCCAAGCCAACAGTAAATTACTTTCTTTGGAAACTGTCCAAGATCTCCAAGTTGGAAAGCTACCCACTAAGTCCAAAATATCCCCTTTCCAGAATGCAGTAATGCTATGCAGGATCTGAGCCAAAAAGCTTTCCTACAGGCCACTTGCATTTACCAAGGCTGAATTAGAAGGCAGTATTTACATAGTTATTCCTTAAAGCAGTACCGGGTTTATCTGAGCTTATTCAATAATAAAAATGTTATAGAAAAAAAAAAAGGTGAAATTCTACTTTACCCAAAGAGTGGAAATACACTGAATAAAATGATTCTCTAAAACATAACAAGGATTCAGGAAAGAATAGGTATAAGTGTTTACTATCCGTTTTTTCATCATTCCTGCAATTTTACATGAAATGATCACCAGGGTTCCTAACAATTTTACATACTGCCTATAAAAACCGATAATAGGTACATTTGTCACATCTGTACATGGACTTTTAAGGAGAGCTGAACTAAAAAGTGAATATTTACTATGCTATAGGGAACATATAAAAATCACAATTATGCCTACACAGTACTCTGAAAAATATACCTTTTGTCATGAATTCTCTATAAACATAGCAGTGCAGTTTCTGGTATACGAGTGTGCCTAGACAGTCCTTTGCCTACAGCCACATAGCTGTAAATCTGAAGCGTGTAATCTAAGGCACTGCTGCCTTTGATGGCTAGTTTTTGGAGACTTAAAGTGAGGTTTGGTGCACACCACAATGCACATGCATCACACGGAAGAGATGTGAATCAGCACTTCCTATAGTGACATCTAGGATGTAACACTCTCTTTCTTTTACCATACCTATTATATATAACCAATTATATTACAGTGAAAGCTATTCAGCAGAGGGACAAAGACACAGGGGACATATTTCGTTATCAAAAGGGAACCTACACTGAAGAATTATGTGAGCTGCCAATGCGGACCTGTGTACTTCTGGAAATGCTAGTTGTTACCATAACTGAATAAGTGGTTTCAGCACTTTTGAGATTAGAAGTCTGAAGTTTTCTCTGACTTTCTGAATTGCATGCTTGTCTAGGTCAGAGACCTAATAGTGAAGACAGTGGATCTGCATGGCAACTAGGCAAATCACAACGTCAGAAGTTGGATTTCAGTGGTGCTATATTTCTCTTAGTACTATCACAATATTTTACAACTGTGTCTGGCTTTTGCACTGTTGGTGTCGGCCTTCATTTGAGCTCTCATCTGTATCTACATTAGAATCAAGCACCAAGCTAAAAGGTGGGATCTGGGCAGATTATCCATTATTCACTACAGCCCCTCTCTGTTGCATTCTTAATACTAACTCAGCGAAAGAAAATTCTAAACCTTGCTAAAGCCCAACTGAACTTTCAGTTTCAATTAGCTAAAGGCATTCCATTTAATCAAAATAGAAAGTTTGCCAAGTTTTACCATTTGTTGTCATTAAGGACCCTTTCACATGAAGGGTCTGATCAGGTCCACCTGTCAGTTTTTCAGGTGGACCTGATCAGACCCTCCATTCACCCCTGAGAATTGGCGAGTGTAAATGGACTTGTGTCCATTTACACCCACCTACCTCCAATCTGGTCATCCCCTTCCATCTAGGCAGATCCGATCATAGGGCAGCTGGATGTAAACGGACAGTAGAGTCCATTTATAATTGGCCGTCCACAGAGCAGAGTGGGCTCTATGCATGTCCCTGTGCATAAATTGATTGAACACAGACCTGTTATCTGCTCAAAGAACCAGCAAACACAAATGCTCCTGCGCTTGGGGATGGACTCGATGCTACAACCACATTAAGAATGTCCTGGAACATGCACACCTTGCTGCCCTCAAATGGACCGGGGGAATCCAAATATACTGAATGGGGAAAGAACAAAAAACAAAATAGAATGATAAGCACACACCCTGTAGGCTGCATCTCTATGAATTAATAAGTGTCTCTGCTGGGTTTCAGATCTACTCTCTATATTAAATCCATGTCCCATGGTTGTCTATGGCAAGCAGAGCACTAGGCAGCTTCGTAGCGTTGCTCATCCATCCATTTATTTATTTAAAGGCGAGCAGTGCAGTGCATCACCAGGGAAGGATTTTTATTATTTTTTATATATGTGTAACTTTCCATTTATTTATTTATTTTCCACTGTGCACACTTCTTATGGTTCATATGATTTTATGATTGTCACTAGTTTCAATGGTTTTATTTGTGCGTGTATATATATATATATATATATATATATGTGTATGTATTTTTTATAGACCTTTCGTGTTTACTTACATTATGTCGATTGCCCCTGTGACTCCTCCACCTGCACAGGGGAGTGTCCAGGACGGCCCATGTGACCTTTGGTTTAACTAGTAGTGAGCATATAAAAGAGGGAGCAGACATTTGGTCAGTTGGCTCTGAGGAAGAGGCAAGTCCTCGAAACGCGTCAGCCTTTTGGATGTCTAAACTCCCTATTGTGGACTGTTACTCAGCGCGGTGTTGATCCAGCTGTTCTTCTATGATGTGCCTTGACTATATTGTCGTTTGTGAGTACAACACCTACTTTATTTTTTATTAAACATTTTTTATGGTAATGCACTAGGCCTGTTATCTGCTCACTCTGCTCTGACCAGCAGGGGATCAGTGGACAGATCCCCTGCTAATCTAATCAAAGTCTGCCTTGTATGAAAGTGGTATTTGAACCAGCCACAGCTTAGGTATTAAAGTGGGTCTTGCCAGCAGGCTGCAGAGAGGGACCCTTGTTCCCTTCTCATTTTAGAGACCTGTGTTATTTTTTAAAGTTTCTCAATTTTTATTGTTGCCAGTTTGATCAGTTAACCAAATGTTATGAAAAAATGTCCGAAAACAATAAAATCAAGGAATAATTATTGGTGGATTAATAATTGATTGCTTTTTCAATTTTTTTTAATTGTATTCATATACTGTATAACGCCTCTGCAAACAACAACAAAAAAGATAGGTCTATATGTGTCTATGCACACTGATGCCTGAGATAATTAAAAAATAAAATAACCTCACACAGTATTATACTGAATTTAATGACAACTGAAGGAGAAAAAAAATTGTAACAAAAATACCATAGCTTATAATATGCTCAGACATCTGACTACTACTATATAACGATTATACATTTATGCTCATATGGAAACCTTAGATACATCAGCTTTACACCCGAGAAGGATCAAGCTACAGTAGGGCTTGAAATTTCCATTTGCCTGCTCGCCAATGGCGAGTGGAAATTATGATGGGGGCGAGTGTGTCCCCCAGGGCCGTTTTGCTGAGCAGGCTCAGAGCTCAGGCCGGATCTGTCATTAGCACTTGGAGCCATCAGACTGCTCAATAGCTGAGCGCAGTGAAAGCAAAGCAAGGAGTGTGTGCTGTGCTCTCTGCCTCCCCCTAGAGTGCAGTACCCGGCTCTGTGAGTGAACAACAAAGTACGGCAACTTTTTATGGAGGGGGTGTGTGTGTGTGTGTGTGTGTGTGTGTGTGTGTGTGTGTGTGTGTGTGTGTGTGTGTACGTGTGTGTGTGTGTTTCTGTGTATGCATGTACATGTGTCTGTGTGCATGTACATGTGTGTATCTGTACATGTGTCTGCGTGTATGTACATGTGTGTACGTACGTACATACATGTGTCTGTGTGTACACGTGTGTGTATGTATGTACATGTGTCTGTGTGTATGCACAGGTGTCTGTGCGTGTGTATTTCTGTGTATGTACATGTATCTGTGTGCATGCATGTCTGTACGTGCCTGTGTGTGTATACATGTGTCTGTATGTGTGTGTGTGTACATGTGTCTCTGTGCGTACATGTTTCTGTGTGTGTATGTACATGTCTGTGTGTGTGTACAGGTGTCTCTGTTTGTGTGTGTTTGTTGGTGGCGAGTAACTCTTAAGGCCTGGCTAGTAGCTCAGGACTTGAAATTTTAAGCCCTGAGCTGCAGTATCTGTATGACAAAGGTTTTAGCCATTCAAAAGAAATTTGGTGTTCTAATTATCCATTCATTTTTTCCCTCGTTGGATATTAGTGATCATAACCGTAGTGTGGCTCAGCCAATTATGCTAGCACTGTGAAAAGAAGGATAAGGGCCAACAGCCAATCACTGTGCCAGGTCACTGCCTGCTTATGGATAATTTTCAATTATACAGCAATTAGCAAATGAACAGGAAATCTCAACACTCATCTACTTAACATGTTGTAACTCCTTACCAAAAATCATCTCATATAACCACCTTGGCTTTGTATGAACATGAAACTGGGCAGCTGACATCTGTCACAAAACTGGACCAAGTAAGGGCAACTACTATGATTGATAAGTGGAAGAAGTGTTGCCATTTAGATGAAAGCATAATAATTAAAAGCATAATAAATAAAAGTAATTTGGTTTGATGGCTTGGCTGTATTCCCTTTATCCAGGTAATAAAATATTACATTTAACTCCACCTTGTGGAATGGAACGGTGTAAGAAGCTTAATAGCTGCTATTGTATCACCATTTTGGAGCTGAAAGTACAAACTATTAAAATAATGTATGTTTGCTCTAATTGTCAATATTTTTATTCTATGTATAAGACTAGCATTTACAGCAGGATTTTTCAATGTTCAAGCCGCTTTGTTGAAGTCTTTAAAGTAACCTCCAGTTGCACCATCCTAACCATACATCTCCAGTCCTCATTAACATCCAAAGTGCCTTTATTGGGTAGTCTTCTGCAAACCCATGGAAAAAAGACTTCTCACAGCCTCCCCAGATACTACAGCTCTGCTGTACTTACAAACAACTGCTGACAACTGTTTCAGGGTGGTGTCTCCACCTGAGATTTGTCATTCACAATGCACAGTCTGATGACGCCGCAGAAATTCTGACAATCATGCACAGCATGCTTGATCTGGCACTGCGACTCAAAATTGTTGAAGCTAGACAGAGCCAAGCAACCTTCATTTTCAAAAGAGGTTTAGCAGTGACAGCACCTATACTCTAATGACAATCACTTGAAGTAACACAATGTGGCTTTAAAGCAATTCTGGGTCATCCTCATTTTTCAAACTAGCATCAGCACAGCAAATCCCACACCAATAGGTACCTGCATGTTTTCAAGACTTCTTGTATGCGTCTGGACTGCCTTCCAGGTAGCAACATACTGAGAACTGCAGTCAGTTGTAATGGCATATGTATGCACTATTTCAATATTTAAAAATAGTAGAAGATAATTAAATATACTATTCTATATTTTACTTGTCCCAGTGACCCATTTATTTTAAGGATCCCTGGGTCCACCAAAGAATTCCTAGCGTAACATGCAACTAAAATTGGTAAGCGCAAACATTTAAACATTCATTGTATTTCCAAAAGCACATCAGATGCAGGGTAAACTGGAAGGCCTACAATAATCAACAAAATGCTTACAAGATTATAATTACCAATGAAATGGCTCCACAAACAATGACCATAAAGCACATCACAAATTTTGTTTCCAAAGCCTTATTTCATTTAATTATTTTTATTCAGGAGTAAGCCAGTTCAAACTAACACTTATATGGATAGAGTACTCAATGCTGTCAAGAACCCACCAATCAACTCTGATATGCTGGGCAAGCCTCAGGCAGATGGTAATGGCCAATCAGAAGCCAGCACCATAGAACACATTCACATAGCATTACATGCAAGGACAGACCGTGTCCATTTGGAGTTTTTGTCCCAGAGGTGGCAAAACAAACATTTGAACACAGTAACTGATTAGTGATTGAGTACAGGAGCAAATCTAGGGGGAGCTTGTTTGAGTTAAGTCTACATGAATATGCCCAGCTCTGGCACAAAAACCCAACACAGCACGTCCTCTTAAAAGCTGGGCTTCCTTCAGTTCCCTGCCCCATCAATATCCTGTAAAATCTTTAGGGCTAATTCACATTGGTAGGTTGAATGTTTGTTAAGAAGCCCATTCACTCTAAATAGGCCACAAAGCAAGTAAAATAGTCCATGCTGCATTGTCATGCATAGACTGTTCACATCTATGTACTGTGTTGTGTTACAACATTTCTCTGCTGCACTGTTGCATGTTGGGGTGCTACTTAAAATGAATGGAATCTCACTAGACTGCAGTACACAACATGCCATGCACTTGCAGTAACTCAGGTCACCTAGACCTTTTGGTACTATAGAACATAAATGTTAATACTGCTGTTTGTTGGCCCAGTCTAATCCAGCGGTGGCCCAGTCTAATCCAGCGGTGACCATCAATCTGATGGCCAGCTATACTGATCCTCACACTGAGAATTTTCAATGTAGAAAAAAAAAAAAAAAAAAAAACACCACAGGCGTACTCCAATAAGGTCAGATGATAAAGAACATATCCATAACCATTTACCCTATCCAAGGAAAACTCTGTGGAGTTTTACCAAGGCTGACCTCTCCTTACGATGATAAAGCTTCTCTGGCTGCTATCCTGAGCCAACAAAGAATTTTGTTCTATTTTTTTTAAATGTGGAAAGGTGATGGTTTTTATAAAATATTTCTGTAGTATTTTGAGAATATGTACTCAAATTTCCCCAAAGAGTTTTACACTCAAAGTTGTGCTAGGGTCAATGTTTCTGTGTATTGCTGATACTTCCCACAAGTAGCTAGATATGGAGTCTATTCTTATGGTTATTCTTTATGGCTTTATTTTCTCTGAATGCTTGTTCAGTGAATTACAAAAGTATTAAAACCAGAGACAGCCAGACAACTAACATTTTCAGAAGTCAACAGAGGCAGCGTTCATATATCTTTCAGCAGCATGGGTTTCCTTCCATTAAAGTAAATCAAAAGGCAACAATGATCCACAAACTGCAGAAACCCATGGCAATGAGTAATATGTCAATGATTGCAGTAAATTGAAATAACGAGGGCTAGGGCTTATTGCATTCACACATTACCCTCCTTTGCACAATATTATTGAAAAAGCCAATATGTACTGCATAGCACTCCACACAAGACTGATAAAACAAATATAAAAGCACAAACCTGCTGCTGTGGATACTGCATTCCTACCATTCCACTATGGGTCCGTCCCTGTATTCCCATCGGATATCTTTGTGGTCCTGGAGGTCCATATGATTGGCCAGGGTAAGGGCTGCTTTGCTGTGTTTGAGAGTAGGGACTATTGCCTATTCCATAAAGTGGAGGCCTTTTCATTACCACTGGATCCATTGGACTTCCCTGCTGGAAAACAAAAACATCTTAATGCAATGAGGTCCATTTGAAATATATATACAAAAATGTATACATTTTTTGTGATTTTTTTATTAGCTCTCTGTAGACATCAGCAATGAAGGGGAAAATAAGACACGTATTATACGAATACTGATCTGAACGTTTTGCAGAACTTATGTATATGAAATATTTCTTAGAATGTGCAAATTTCTCTGCCAAGCTATGCTAAGGCTACAGATATAATTCCATCATTGTCTATTTGTCTAAACAATTTTCTAATGAAACACCACACTCACAAATGACAGACCTTGAAAGGTGTCATGATGCACAGTTACGATTATTTAATTTGCACTTTTTGCAGTGTTTATACATGGATATGGAAATGTAAACCAGCACAAAAGCAATGTAAAAGAAAAAAAAATACACATGTGGGAACTGGAGATCCATCATGGTAAAATAATTTTTTATCAGAATTTAAAAAATATAATTAGATCTACTAGAATGGAAAGTAGTCAGCAGTTATTGATTCACCATATATCAAATGGCATATATCATGAATGAATGGTCACAGAACAAACACCGCAGTCCATTTAAGCACCAGATTTTACAACTAAATGCATAGTATGAGCTGGAGCTAGAAAATCAATTTACGTCACCTGCTCGTTTCCCTTCGGAATCTCAGCAGCAGGTAAATTGTGCTGAAATGAAATCCTTCAGTTGGGAAACTGGTTCCTAGGGCATACACTATATAGATAACAAAAATATTGGACATGTGGTTATCAAAACTATATGAGCTTTTTAGGCAACCCACTCCAAAACCTTGGACAATAATTTGAGGGCACCCACCCCTTTGTGTCTATTCTAGGAAAGCTTTTACACAAGATCTTGAAGAGTATTTGTGGGACTATGTGCCCAATCAATTTAAAGAGCATTCCTGAGATCAAGCACTGATGACTGGATAAGAAGACCCAGTATTCTAATTTCTAAAAAAAGGTTTCAATAGCACTAAGGTCAGTGCTTTATGCAGGCCATTTGAGTTTCTGCACACCAAACTCAAACCATGTCTTTATTGGCCAGTTTTGGAACAATTCTAAAAGAAGACAATTGTCTAAAATATCTTTGTATGCTGTAACATTAACAGCATACTTTACGCAATGCATTTAAAGTTTCTACATACTTTTGAACAAAGAGTATAGGCGTGATGGCCAGGTGTCCACAAGCGTTTGGCCATATAGTTTAACTTCCAAATTAATATAAGCACTTACCAACAATACTTAACACCTGCAAGGAAACTGCAGTGGCTTAGAGCAGTGGTTCTCAACCTTCCTAATGCCACGACCCTTTAATACAGTTCCTCATGTTGTGGTGACCCCCAACCATAAAATTATTTTCGTTGCTACTTCATAACTGCAGCAGCTCTTCTCATTCCTGCCATACAAGGTGTCACACCTCCCCCATCCCCACCACACAGAGCTGCCAGCTCTCTTCACACACGGCCCGCTCTCACCTGCTCACTGACACCATCTTGGATCCGCTCTCCCCCCTCCTCCACCCAGTCCCCAGCTAGCCGGCTCCCTGACAGAGACCACTCCCAATCTTAGGACGTCAAAACTTCTTCACTGGTGCTTCCCGTTGACACGTCACCTCGTCTGATTGGT